TTTGTGGTTTTATGGTGTGCTTTCTTGGTAATGAAGTCAATATAATTTGAATTATATTTGAGTAAAGTTGCATTTGAATACATTTTGAATTAACAATAATAGAGAGCCAGTATTCCTCAGCTGTCTTAAAATATGAAAAAATTCTGCAGCTTATTTTTTGGTTTGAAAGTAGAGAAAGTACTAGAAGAGTAGGTACGTTTCCTTTGCTTGACTGTAAGAGGGTAGGAAGAGTTTATATGCATTGCACTTCACAGTGGTTTTTCGTGTTTTTGTGGGTTGTGTTGGTTTTTTTTTTACTTTAACATGGGGACTGTTTCTTCTAGAGGAAGAAACTTTTACTCAATTTACAAGAACACAACTTATTTTGGTTTGCTAAAAAGACTTATTGTTGCAAGTCATCTTGTTTGTTATCAGCATTGTGTATTAACATAGTGAATATTTCATCGTGGAAATCCAATTGATACATGACCAAAAATTTCTGAAAGTTATATAAAATAGAAGACATTTCTGAAACTGTGGAAACACAGGACTGGGAGCTGTATGAGAGACACTGTGTGCATGGAATGACTGACAATGTGTGTGTGCAGGAAGTGGTATTTTTTTAACAGCCTAGCAAACTGCATGCACTTCAAAGTATGTTTGCAGACCTTTGTTCACAAGGAGATATCAGAGTCCTGCCTTAATTATTTTTTTTTAATTGATAATATTGAACTCTTAGAAGTGGTATTCAGATTTTTTAGGATGTTAGCATATCAGTGTTTGAGATCAAGGTAGAGGTGCTAACTGGAGCAACAGTTGACAATCTTTAATTAAAGTTCTGCTGCTGAGTGTGTGTTGGTTGCAGAGGTTGGTTTATACAAATGCAGCTGCACCTCTTTTCTGGATTGAAGTGTCTGCAAGTCTAGCTTGGCTCTGGTTGAACTGAGGTGTTTAATGTGCAAAATACTTGTATTTCAGGGTCATCTTCAGCCATGCCTGGTGTCAATAATTTAGGACAGTCCAGCTCCAGTAGTCCACGGATGTTTCCTCAGCCCCAGAACATGATTCAGATGGGACCTGGACACAGTTCTGTTCTTCCGCTCCAGTCGGGCTCCAGCCAGCAGGATCGAGGGGTGACTCAATATAACAATATGCAAAACATGCAGCGAGGGGGATTGTACAACTTGGCATCTGGGATGACCCAGATGGTTCCCCAGCATGCAACACAAAGTGCCAGTGGACAGCCACCCATGCAGAGACAGAGCAGCCTGGGCCAGGGTGCTGCCGTTCCTGCTGGGTATGGGCAGAACACCTTAGCAAACTCAAGCATTTCTCAGCAGCACAATAAAGGTGCACTGAATCCAACCTTATCTAAGCCACAGATGGCCAGAGTACCAGCTGCTATGGGGGCTCAGAATCCATCTTGGCAACACCAAGGTATCCCTAGTATTAACAACCAGACACAAGCAAACAGTGGCTTAGGACCGTTTACTGCCAGCTCCTCTTTCCACATGCAGCAGACTCATCTAAAAATGGCCAACCAACAGTTTGCCCAAGGAATGCCTCAGGTAAGCCTAAGCACCAGCAGACCCATGACCTCTATGAATGCTGCTGTCTCTGGGCAGATGCTGTCATCATCTTTGGGTGCGCAGCAGCGGACGAACCCTCCTACGCAGCAGCAGGTCCCCTCACAGCAAGTCTTGCCTGGCATCAACCAGACTGTTCCAGATCTGAACACTTTCAGCCAGAACCCAAATCAGCAAATGCCCAACAGAGGTAATCTGCACTGTAGTCAAGGGTTCCCTGTGAGGACAACCAGTCAAGAGCTGCCTTTTGCCTACAGCGGCCAGTCGGGCAATAATGGACTTCAGAACTTAACTGGTGACACAGACCTGATAGACTCTTTGCTGAAAAACAGGACTTCAGAGGAGTGGATGAATGATTTGGATGAGTTGTTAGGGACTCATTAAAATGGGGCCAGGGGTGGGGGGGTTCTACTTTTTTTTTTATTATTATTATTTCATGAAATACAAACAACACTTGGACCAAAAAACCTGTGGCATTGAGACTTGCAGGCATTAGAGGGAAATGGGTTGGGAAAGGGACTTCTCGACATGCGGTGGGGGCGCACCAAGCAGGGCTGCAGGAAGAGTGCGCTTTCCCTGGGTGTCTCTGAGGAGTCACAAGCTTTGAACAGGTCAAAAAACACTCTGCGTGTCCTAGCCAGCCTTTCAGAAATCTCACTTGCAGTGTTCTAAAATGGAACCTTTTAATTCTTTAAAAACAAAACAAAATTCCACATGAGTAGTTGCAGAGCGAAAGCAAATAGTCACACAGATTGTTTTTAGGGCTTAGTCTCCTGCAGCTATTACTTGCAATCCTTATTTTTTCATAGATTGATATGGTGTTATAGTACTGTCCATCAAACTTCTGACTTTTTTTTTGAGAAGAGGCTTGAGCATGCTTGCAAAATGTTCTGAATTGTTTCTTTTCCCCATCACTGAAGCATGTGCCTGTACTCTCAGTAAGCAAGTGATATTTCAGAGTAAATATTTCTAGATGCTGGTAATAGATGAAATAAAGTATTAAAACCTGGCCAGTTAGTCTAGGTAGTTGTCTTAATAGATTGTAGTCTTCTAAGCTGCAGTTTGCACTCTGTTGTAGAGAGGCACAGTTCTTGGCTTATCCCTTGCTGTGTTTAAAGGGGGAATTTCTTACGGGAGGACTTTTAAACTATGTAGGCTTAACATGAATTGTAAAGCCATTTACTTTGCACCTCTTTCTTCATAACTTATTTCCAAAGGTAGTTGTATTTAAATGAAGGCTTTGCTTCATGACAGCTGATCTAGTTTACTTTGCTGTAAAAAGTAAAATGAACTTCTGAGATAATTTCATTTCCCAAAGGTAGCAATGGTGCAGTGAGCACAAGACTTTGTCACCTCAGGAACAAAATGAGGAATAAGGAATTTGGCTGAGAGGTGAAAAGTCCTTATTAGCAATAATAGCACAGGCAGCCTGAGAGGATATTGTATCAGGGTTGCTCCAATATAGAAGTCTCCCCCCTTTAAATACTTGGGTTTATGTGTGTCATGTTTTGGCTTGTTTTTGTTTTTTTTTGGATACTGGGTTACGAGTTTGATAATCTTTCCATAGACTGGTGGATTTACTTCTTTAATATCCCTTGAAGCAGATGCTGGTTCTTCAGCCCAAGGAGACCTTTTATCCATGTGTTGGGATCAGTCCCAGAAAGGACAAAATCCACAACGGGAACAATAAGTGTTCCAGAGTTCTTACTTTCTACCAAAAAAATCCCCTATCCATCAACAAACCACCTTGCCTTAACCTTTGTTTTAAAATTGAAATGCAAGTTTTTCTTTTAAATGCACAAATACCTCTTCCCTTTTAAATCCACTTTTTTGGAAAACTCCTTTGAAATTTCTAATAAAACCCAGCATTGTGATTTAAAAAGCAATTTCCTTCAGCACAAACTGGCTTCTTCAGGAGTTTTCTGCACTGCAGAGATGTGTGAGAGGGCTTTTTCCAGAGTGGGTGAAGGGAAGTGAAGGATAACATTGATTTCAAAGAAGGAAAATATTTTGCTGTATCTGCAGCTCCTTTATGAGACAATTTGCACTTTTAAAAACTGCTTTTTAACACTAATACTTTAACCCTTTCCAAATATGCATGGAACATGGTTTGTCCAGCACACTTACCTAGTGTGGATGAATTACACTCTGTTGAACATATTTGATACTGTATCATGTTGAACTGTTGGTGAAAGATGTGCATTGATCAGTGGATCCCACCATTGAGTAGTGGAGAAGACTTCACTGAAGCAGATTTAATCCCTTTTAGAGCTTGTGAAAAGATTAACACAGAGATTGTCTTTGGATGCGAAGATGAAGGTGTTAGTGACTTTGGTTGTTGACACTTCTGATATTTTCTAGAATAAGTAGTTGAGATGCAAATAACTGATGCTAACTTTTCTTGTACTGGCAATCTAAGGAAAGAGCTAGTGAGTTTGGTTTACTGTTACGTTAAACCAAAAACTGGTCCAAGGTAAGTGTTGTTAGAAGAGTATAGATAAACTAGCAATCGCAGTGGCAGGAGTGTTTGCTATATTTTTATTTTTAAAGGTTAACTTTGCACCAGTGTGCCTTCCCTTCCTTTTGGGAGTGCTTGGGACCTCATTATTTCAAGTGACATCCTTTAATGTCACTAGTTTTTTCTCCCCCGTACAAACATTTGAGAGACACAACAGGGTAATAGGATCCAGCTTTTTATTTCTTCCCTGTTCAGTTTGTGGTAAAATCTGCTACGTTTTCCTGTAGATTTTGCACATGGACTTTGTTCTGAATAAGACAAAATACAATCCATCCAGTTGTGATTTCTTAGTTAGAGGAAAGAACATCTGCTGTTTGCATTATTGCTACCAAAAAGGCAATCCAGGTAAATGTCCAGGAAAATGCAGATGTTCTCTTTCCTCCACTGTTTCTGGAAGCTAAGGTGGATATTGCCCGGCTTGACCAGTGGGTTTGTTCAGGAAAGTATCTAGATTTGATGAAAGGGCCTTTTCACGATACTGTTGAGCTAAAATCAAGTGTGGTTCTAGGCAAACTGGCTTGTGATGCCCATCAGTCCCCTTGTGTGAACAGGATCCAAGCAGCATCTAACCTGGCAGGCAAAGCAGCCCTTGTTTCTGCTTTTGGGCCCTGTCCACATCATGTACCCAGACTGCTGGGAGTCCGGTATCACTGTAACCGAGCTGAAACAGTTCAATGGAAATGAAAATATGGTTTGGATGTACATAGGTGCATGGGTAGGGCTGGGCTTTGCCTTTGTGCCCTGAAACATGTAGCTGTCTATATATATATGCACTTGGGCTTTCCATTTGCTGCAGCTTCAGAGCAATAAAACGTATCTCCCCTGAGCTGTACCTGGCCAGCCGCCCATGGCTTTATTTATAAACTGCGGCTTTGGTTGGGTAGGAAAGGTGAGAGTGTCACTGTGCAACATCCACTGCCTTCCAAAAACCGCAATTCAATTGAAAAGGGTGCTCAAAAATTTGTTATACACATTTCCTTTGTGTAAATAAATGTTTACAATTTTATATTAAAGATTTGAATAAGAGTTAGATCTTCTGACTGTATATTTTTTACTTTTTATAGATTTTAAAACTATAATTCTTTATATATGTGTTTGGGGGGGGTATTATGGTAAGTTTTATGCTTGTAAATGGAGAACAGTTGAATTTGATGCTAACCTTTATGAATTTTTGTCATTGAAATGTATAAAGAGTCCATTAATCCCCTTATTCTTTTACTACAATTACTGGTGCACACCAAAAAGAAATCCTTCACTTCTGTTTTATCATTATAAAATAAATATTTTGCTAGTGTATTAAACATACATGGTGTGACTTTATACATTGGTGTGAGCTCAGTGGTGCTGTCCCTAGTGAGATGACTCCATTCCAACACACAGGTTTTCTCACCCTGTTGCTCAAACACTCTGCTGTGTCATTCCAATTCTTACGGTTAAACAGGCCAGAACTGGATAATGAGGCCTTTTGAGAACTTTCCTTTGAAAACAAGACTTTATGCTACACCTACTGTTTCTGGATTATTTTTTTTAAATGCAGTTGTAGGCCTTAAGCAAGGAACTGGGACTGCAGACTTTGGTATGAGTGGAGTATGTTAATAACTACTCACACATGCAAAATCATGGAGTTCCAATAATATGGTCAGATTATCTCAAAAATATCAGACCTTAGTGATTTAAAAAGCCACTAGAGCTGGTGATTTGAAGAGACTGTGGAAAATAATGGCAAAATAGGTTTTTCAGCCCCTGCTGGATTGTTGAGCCTCTTAAGATGGACACTGACATGTCTTGGTGGTTAGAAATAAAGCAACATAGCTCCATCAGTGCCCAGAAGAGCCTGGCTCTAGACGTGTGTGTTTGCATGTTGAGGTGTTCTTGTTAGCAAGTTATTACTTGATTAATTGCTCTGAGTTCAGCATTTCAAAGCAGTTCTCCTAGTGAATCATACGACTTGCAGCAGACCCAAGAATTCAGCTACTTATATAGCATTTCCTGTTTGCCAAGAGTGCCTTTTGACTGATGATACCTACTCGTTAAGTTCTCAACTAACATCTCAAACCTTTCCAAATGAAGATCAAGCAGTTGTGATAAAGAATTTGTAAAGTGTGACACGTGTTTCTTGCTGAGGCTGTATTCATTTTACATGTTACTTTGATTTCAAGCATTCCTCTTTATAAATACAACCTTAATCAGCTTCAAACGTTGAAGGATCCTTCTACAAGTGTAGACAAGTGTCTTACTATATAGCTGTTGTGCTTAAGGGCCCAGCTTAGAGCCTTCAGGTGTTCTCACAAAGTGCATCCTGACTTACCTGAGTATATTCCTCTGCGAGTTTTGAGTTGAGTTTGGGGGGAGAGGAGACCTGTAGCTTCAGAAGCTTATAGAGAACCAAATGTAATAGTGACAATACCAGAATGAGCTGTTTCTAGCCCTTGAACTGTGTTCTTTATTTACTTTTGCTATTTGTCCCATTGAAAGTGCTACATTGTATTTCATGTTGAGTAAAACAACTTCCCCGCTGTTGCCTGCTGAAGTGACATGTGTGTTTTTCCAGAGATTTTAAGGAGTCAGTGGCAGCTGGTGACCAACCTCTGCTTAGAAACTGATTTGTTTTTTCACTTGATGTTAGTGTTTTGCCTGGGGCTGATGTAAATCTGGGAGTGTTTCTGAAGCCTGAATTGTTTGTTGAAGTGGTGTAAGCAGAAGGAGACTCCTGGTGACAATGCTGCTCTCTTATATTTGACACCTCAGATGAAATTTTCAGTCACCAATAGTTTGTATTAATTGTTTTATTCCTATTTCAGTCTGGGGCTGCTAGCAGCTTGGGAGGGTCTAAAGTCACATTATATGAGTGTTTTGCAGAGAGAAGGAGAAGTTTTGGTACTCCATGTGCATTTTTTTTTAAAGTGTATGCTTGTATGTTTGAATTAATTAAGTATTCAACTTGCTAAGCTGTTGCAATGAGGTTTTGAGGTGATCAAGAGCCAAACCAGAAGAGCTTGCTGTGTCCCACTTGTGAGAATCTGGAGGTTTGGTCATTTCTTGTTGGTATTGTATGCAAATTCTATACTGAGATATTGTGGGTGTGATTATACAGAGAAATGCAATGGCTCAACCATATCCTGTCACCACCTTTCTCCAAAATTAAGGGAGAACCTCAGTTGATAACAAATTACACCTTTTTTCTCCTTTTTGGTTTAAAAACTTTGAAGTCAGAGTAGTCTTACCCATATGAAGTTGCTCCAAAACACAGGATCAGTTTGTGCACTGGTGCATGTTTTGTTTATGGAGAGTGAAGTTATTGAGGGCTAAAATATTTCTGTTCTTTACATTTTATAATTATGATGTTGGTGTAACATTTCTGAGGGTCCATGTGTTTCTCCATCCTCTGCTGCCTTCCATTTGGAACCAAGAACTTTTATACATCAGTCACAATTGTAAAAACATCAGAAAACTACAAAAAGTGACTGAGCACTAGAAAAGAGCCATGGTCCTATTTGGCAAGCTTACAGTATTAATAGGATAAAAGATCTGAATGCTCTTTTAAAAATTCAGAATCCAGTAAAAGAATTAAGTTACTCCAGCTGAAGTCTAGAAAATACGTGATCAACTCTACTACTTGGAATAAGAGCAGAAAGTCAAGTCATTAACTTGTGAATGCTTGTTAATAATTTTTACAACCTTGAGCGTAATTTAGATGCCTTAGAGCTGAGTAAAGCTAGCAATAAAAGGGCTGGAAAAAATATCATCTTTCCATGGGCAGCAACACTTAATTTAATCACAGTGCAAAATTCTGTAAATATAATTGCAAGAATTTCAGCTGGTGCACACAAAACTTTGGCTGTTACGTAGTTCAGCAGAAGGAACTTGTCTGGAACAGGTTTTCTGAGGTTGGCTGCTTTGGAAAATGATGTGGCGTGGAAAGAGTTAATGTATGGTGCAGGGAACACGTGTTGCTGCAGGGCAATAAGAAGGCAGGAGCAGGAGAGAGGGTTGGAAAGCATCTGGACTCATCCCACCTAGCAAGGCTGTGGACCACAGTCGGCGCCATGAGAAACCAAATAGACCTGCTAGCCACTGTCACAGTTTTGGGAGTCCTGGAGCAAGGTAAGTGTCCTTTCTGTCATGCCTGGTAGTACTGAGCTAATTATATTGAACTTTGTGGAACTTAGTTCCTGTATTTTGCTTGGAACCTTCATGGAATGAAAGCTGCTGTTTTCCAACAAGAAAATGATGTTTGGCCATTCGCAGTGGAAGTGTCCTGCCTGAGGAGGCTCATTATTTAATTGGGACAAACGATTCTCAAACCTCAAAGCCAGCATTCTAGAAAGAAATGAAACTGGAAGTTTCACTTCGAAACTTAAAACCATTTAAACAATTAAAACGTCTTTAAAACATTTTCAGTGAGTTAATTTTAGCAGGTAATTTGTAACCTAGAGTGGTTGGAGGAAGTAAAAATAAAGGCAGGTTAATAAATGCTCTGAGGAAGAAGCCAGCCTAGAAACACACATGATACGTAAATGGAGAAGAGCATCACGTACAGATGCATTTCTCCTCTGGGGCCCATGTTACGTGCTCGTGTAGCTTTGCTGCACTGAGCGGGTGGCGAGATGAGTTAACAGCTCTGTACAGTAATTTGGAAACTCATGCAAGTCCTTCCAGTCAGACCCAGACATCTTCAGACAAAGTTGGCAACTTCTCTTAATTTAAATAGATGCCTTTTGTTTTGACCATTTGGAAGGAAGCAGAGTGCTGCCAAGCTCTGCCTCCTGTGCTTCATTGTGGGTCCTTTGGGCAAAGGCCTCCCCTCAGGGCTGCAGGAGGGTGATGGGAGGGGAAGTTCACCTGCTTCGGATGGGGACAGAGCCCCCATTTGATCAAAACCAAGGGTTTTCTATAAGGGAAGTGTTGGAAGTTTTGGAAGGATTTTTATTGCTGAATTAATTCACCACAGAGCTATCACACCTCTGCTTACAAATGTGAATCTCTCAGCAGCCTGCTGTATTTTTAGTTGTCAGATGATAAATCTCTTAATATACTAATTATTTAAAACTCAAATGTACTTGAAGAATAGAGTTCAAGCTTTCTGGATTGTCAATAACTTCTCAGAGAAATATCTGCAGCTACAGGTCTCTTGGTCTAATGACATCTTTGCATTTTACCATTGTAACTGACGTCAGAACCATACAGGTGTGAAGCCAGCAGATAACCAGCAAGCTTATCTGTGTTGGGTTGGATAAAGGAGCCTTGTTTTATGGTCTGCCTGGGAAGCCAAGGAGCAATGGCAAAGTACTATGTGTTTCCTTTCTACTAGTAGGAAATATGTGTGCTATTGTCCCCCTGATTCAGAGCTATGTAGTTGCTTTTCTTGCACATTTGGGTGAGTTACTGGACGTACCAATACTCTCCCATCACATCCTGATGCAGGAGATGTGATTTAATGGGGGAACTTAGTACAGTGGTGGTTGTTTTTTAGTTTTTTCCTCTTAATTTTCTGAGAGCTCACAGCTTCCTCATTCTTTCAGGTAACTTTCTCCTTATTAATTTAGTTATGCTCAGTTTAGCAAAGCTCTGATCTTAGTGCTCTGTAGGTATGTGCTGTGTTGGTCTCCAGACCAGAGAACAGAACAATGCTACCACAATTTTTTCACACTCCCCTTTTTTTAACTGCTTCAAAAGAGGAAGGTTATGCATGATCTATCAGCCTCCACAGAGCTTGTTTGCCAGGTTGATTCGATGTAGCAGATACCAGCTGTAATAGGGTTTGACAAGTTTGTGGACAGAATCAAATTGAGAATGAACGTCTGGCTGATACTTCCACTGAGGAGCAAAGTGTAGGGAGAGCTCAACCCTATGAGCCATGAAAAGGCATTTAACCTCAAGACATGAATCACAAAAAATAGTTTGAAAGGTTCGGCAGAGTAGGCTGAGCTCTTCCCAAGTCCATGCTGGGAAGGTTTGTACAGTGTGTTCTTCTTAACACCTCATTTTGAGAGGTGCTTCTCTGGGGTGATTCTTAATCCTTAAGGCTTCACCCATATTCCAGGCTTGGAGGACAGCTAGGCAGCCTCCACAAGGCTCTTGCTCCTCTTAGGTGGTTGTTTTAGGTGTTGTCTACCCCTAAGTGTAAGGGTTCTGTTGCAGGGCTTGTCTGAGTCTTTGCCCCATATACAAGCAAGATGTTAATCATAGAGTTGCTGGAGAGGTTGGGTCTGAAATTATTCTTATCGTGCTCATCAGTCACAATAATTCTACACTAGGCAGGGTGCAGCTGGCACAAAGCAGGATGAAGACTTGCCCAGAGCAGAATCAGGCTTATGCCACAAGCCAGAGCTGTGAATGATCCAGTAACTTGAGCTCAGTCCATTCCTTGAAGTGCCTGCAGTGGGACCCTGAGATCATTGAATACTTGTTTGGGAGAGACGTGCTTAACTGATGGGAAGAGGACGTATCAGGATGGGTCACACTTTGATCAGCTTTTTCTCAGAGCTTTGCCAGCTGCTGCTGAGCTGCCAGTTGTGTGCTCCTGCAGAGTTTGGTGGCTGGTTTCACAGAGGGGACACTGTGGCATCTGGCTGCATCTCAGGGCAGGACGATGTCCTCACACCTCACCATAATCACTGTGCTACACATCAATCAGAGGGGAAAAGCAAACTTGTTCCTTGCCACTTTTCTCTTCCAGCACCTTGTGGTTAGGGCTGGGTCATTGCACTCACTGTGGAAGACACTAGAATGTGTGGATATTTTCCTAAGTGGATGTCTGTTTATGGACATGGATGATGTGCTGTGTAATGCACAGGTCACACAGCAGCAGATTATTCACATTTCTAATTCCCTTTTCTTCTACATATGTTCTAAGGCTTTTCTGCCAGCATGCATGGATCTGTCTTGTCTTTAATCTTGCAACATCTGTCCCTGCTTTCCTTTTTTTCTTCTGCTGTTCTGCTTTTATCTTTGTTAGAATAAGATGGTCCACAAGACAGTCCTTGCAGCCTGGGTCCTTGTCTCTCTGTTTATTACTCTGAAAGTGTTGCTACGTTAGGACCTTGCTAATCCAAGTGACTCCCTGAGCAGCAGGCTGCCACAGCCACCAAAGTTATTGTTTTTATAATTTGCTTTTCTCCTTACGAAAACTCTCATTTTCAATAAAGGCAGCAGTGCAGTAGTGTGCCCTTGAAACATCAGCAGTCACCTGTGGGAGTAAAAGCTTTTGTGAGAGAGTGAAACAGCCCAGATGTTAATAAGTTTTTGTGGTTTTGACGTGACTTTGCATGTCCCTCACAGCTGTACAAACAGCAATGCAGCAGACACCACCTTAGTGCCTTAGCCCAAGGTACAGGCTCATCCGTGTCATTGACAGCAC